CAAGATAAAAAAATGATTTTTTGAAGTGCTTCGAAGATTGGAAAAACCGTTGGCACAAGTGTATAATATCTCATAATTTTTGAAAAAACACAAATTCGTGATATTTTTTGAGCACACCTCGTATATGTGTATGTACATATTTTTAAATATAAATACTTCGCTTCACATGTAAAATTTTTCGCATATTCAATTTTTTACTAACTCAACTCAAATTTGAAAATCTAATTGATTATTCGCATTGACATTGTCAAATGAGCCAATTAAAAATTCAATATCCCATCTAATGAGGAGAAAAGTTCCTGAATGTTTGTAGTTGCATGTAATGTAAAGCATTTGAAAGACTGTAAATGCAGTTATCATATATACAAATGTACATATATACTAGGCCAGTTGGATTTTAAACAAGTTTCAGGACGGTCACGTGTCGAAATTGAGATTTGTTAAGATCAAAAAAAAAAAGTTAAAATTATGTGAAAATTGTCACATAATACATTTTTTCTTAATTTCTAATTCATTTTATTTAATTTTTTCAAGTTCATTTTGTTAAATTTTTTTTTGTTTTATTAAAAAAAATTAAATAATTATTTTTTTTTAGTTGAGTTTATTTAATTTTAATATTTTTATTTATTTTCACTTAATATTACTTTATATTATTAATTTTATTTTACTTTACATTATATTATTCTAATTTATTTATTTTTCTCTTGCTTTCATTTATTTTATACTATTTTATTTATTTAATTTTTTTTTTTTTTGATTTAGTTGGACGGACAGAATTTGCTAAATAGGTTGGTCTGGTCATACCTGAATAATAGATATATCTAATCTAATAGATATATGTTATATATTAGAGATAAGTATATCCCCGAATAACTTAATTTTTAATGTCACATACAATTGTTATCCGTTAACCTCTCGCAGCCGAAAATGTTTTCACCGCGATACGAGTATGTACCATATTTTTTTAATAAAATACAATGCAAGGGCAAATCGAAAAACTTTCTTCTCGTTTTATTTTGGTTTCTCAGAATATCTGCGATTAAGGGAGCATGAATCAGCTTTTAGATTATCTTACCTAAGCTATAGAATTTGTGCATTCCCTTTAACCACGTTCTTATCAGCTTCACAGCACTGCTAAGCTAACATGCATGTTTAAATATATTGCTGATAATAAAATACTGATTATTGTACAGAATTAACCGACCGAAGACCAAAAGCATAATGCAGTATATGTAAAAAATTAAAAAGGAAAACAAAAAATAAAATTTTGACTCAACTTTTTTTGTGTATTTAAGATCCCCACAGCCACAGTTCCTTCAGTATCGTTGGGACTTACCATAAATACGGTTTTAAGCTCTGCATAGAGTGTTTAAAAAATGTGCGTTAACATAAAATCAATTTTTTTATCTGTATGCCTTTACGGTAGCGTCTTAACGGAACCCTTGAAAACCTTATATAATGCTCAGTCTTTTCGTCGTATCCCTCATAAAGTAATAATATCAATCTAACAGGAAAATGATTTTTTCAAACAAATTGCAGACGACAACATATTTGATACTGAAACTTTCAAACAAGTTGGGCAGTGTTATTGCTTAATAAATACAAAATAAAAGGTAAAATTTTTTCAAAATCAACTATCTGTACCCTGCAACGTTTCGCCGTACACTTTTCTTTGTTTTCCCTTCGACCATGCAAATAAAAAGGTTTTCTCTTCGGCCAACCCTAGAACATCCATCATATGATTGTTAATGGGCGAAGCAATACATGAATGTGGACCCCAAAATTCCAAAGATTAACACTGGTTGTGATTGCAAGGGCTAGGCAAATGGGGATCTGTAGTCGACGTAACTTATATGGAGTATGGAAAGGATTCAAGGAATGAAGACAACTTCACCTTTGAAAGGTCCCCTCAGAAATGATGCTCCATTACGTTCCTCTATCATTTTTTACTGCATGTCACGTTCCATTATGATGATCACACTGATTTTTAAATTCAGCACGTGCGGTTGTACTTCCATTGAGTCCAAAGAATTCACAAATTCTTTAAGAGAATTGACTGCCCCTAATGCGGAACGCATTCGTCTTCATTGTTGGATTGAGTAGTGTGGCTGAGAACGTAGTTAGACAGCTTAGTTTTTTGCAGCAAAAAAAGATCGCTCACTCAACCAGCCCTGATCTTATAATTAAATTGTATATTTGGGAATATTCCGCAAACTAATTCTTCTTCTGATGTTACTAAATAGCAGAAGTTCTCAGGCAATGTAATCCGGTGTGTCCTTTTTCAATGTTCACACGTATATTGGATAGTTGTGTAAAAGTTTCAGTCGGTCCGTAATTCAAAATATGCTGATCTTTACAAGCGAACTTAAGATTGATATCTATAAAAACAAATATATTTATATAGAGGGGTTTCCAAAAAGAAGTGTTATTTTGATATCCAAAGAAAAACTACACTTTTTGAGGTAAATGATTGAATGTTTATTTCAGTGTGAAAAGGAAGAACTGTCGCGGCAACGCTTACAGCCAAGTGACTGCTGTATGCTCTCACAATCTTATTATTCTACCTTTGAGATCATGAATCAACGTTGCCCTTTCACTTGGCCTTAAAGGTTTTATGTCACAATATTGCCAATTCCGATAACCATTTCGAGAGATAACACTGTCCGGAACTTTTCCATTAATGAAAGCAGACGTTGTCCAGATAAAAACCATCCAATTCAAGCTAATCACCGCGACTTTTGCTCTAGCCTTATTTTCAAAAAAGTAAAATCTAATGACACCGCCGGACCAGAAAACACACCAAACAGTTACACGCTGAGGATGGAGAGGCTTCTCACGAATAAATCTTTGATTTCCCGAGCCCCAAATGCGACAGTTTTGCTAATTGACTTAATTATTGAGGTTGAAATGAGTCTCATCAGTCAAGCCAGCATTTGAAGGACCCAATCAATAAAGATACGGCGTTGTTGATGATCTTGAGAATGTATTAGCTGAACTTTACAAGCCTTAACACCTAAGCTTTTATGCGATGATGTTTGTGGAATGGAAAAGTTCGGGGAGAATAGAAAAACTTGGATTTTCTTCAACACTCTGAGCAATATTCTGAGTTGTTCGTGTTTTATTCATCACTAACTTGCCCCAACAGTTAAATTTTTGTGGTAATTTCTATATTGCAGTTCGACAAAGTGCTTCAAGACGAGCGACAAAATTTTCAAGCAAATCGACTAGAATGCCTTTTTCCGAAAAGGTCAGTCGCCGGTTCAGAGAGGAGAGTAGTCTTACTGTAGATCAAAACAAACATTCATCTATTTATCGAATTTCAAGAAAATCGAAGTTTTTTCCTCATAAAACTTCCCACGAACCATTACAACAACCTAACCAAATTTCAATCCGCCTATCGATCGATAATTTGTTGAGAATATCAGATTTTTACATCAGACTTTTATATATAAATTAATCATATAAATTTTTATGGAAGCCAAATCAACATTTGCAATTTCAGATGAACTGGTTTGAGGCGATTTAGCGGAGGAGGGCAAATTCATGTCATACAGCGATGGACTTCCGATGAAATATATGCTATGGTCAGATGGCCAGCCAAATGATTATCATGACAATGAAGATTGTGTAGAAGTATGGACTGTTGATGATAACTTCTATATGAATGATAATCTTTGCACCGCCAAAGACTTTGTTATTTGTGAGAAGCGAAGGACAATAAGTAAATTTCCTGAAAACGAAATTATTTTGGGTTGTGACGTAAGAAAAACAACTGAAACATTAGACAAAGCAATGAATAATTTAGACTGCAGGGAATGGTGGAAGAAATAAAAATAAATGTAAATATAAATGCATATCTATGTTTTATTTTTTATTCAGTTCAAAGTAGTACCTGATAGTGTAAGATGCGATTTTGCATTGAATTTCAAAGCTGACATTATTGCACTGAATAACGAATCAACAGATTACATGGCTGATGTTGGCGACAGTAGAGCCTGTTAAGTCTTTATTTATTGGTTCGATCCCTACCAAAAGAAGTCTGATGAGGAGAGGTGGTGATTTCCGATGATGTAGTTACTTTTTATTTTATTTTTATTAATTTGTTTTTCATTTTTTTTATCTTATTTTATTGTATTTAATTTAATGCAATTTAATTTTATTTTATTTTATTTTATTTTATTTTATTTTATTTTGATTTATTTTATTTTATTTTATGCTCTTTTATTTTACGATTTTATTTTATTTTGTTTTTGATCTTGTTTTAAATCATTTTTTTTTTTCAAATTATATTATTTGATTTTAATTATTTAAATTTGTTATTCTGTTATTTAATTTATTTTATTTATTTTACTTTCTATTTTATATATATTTTTATATTATTAAAACTCATATACTTATTTATTTATAGTTTTTATTATTTAATTTAATTTTATTTTATTTTAGTTCTTCTGTTTTACTTTATTTTATTTTATTTTTTTTATTATTTGTTTTATTTTATTCAATTTTAATTATTAAAATTTTTCATTATGTCATTTAATTTACTATAATTTATTTTAATTAAAAGCAGATTTATTTTATTTTCTTTTATGTGATTAAAACTCATATATTTATTTATTTTTGGTTTCTATTATGTAATTTAATTTAATTTTAATATAATTCAATTTTCTTTTTTTCATTTTACTTTGTTTTATTTTATTTTATTTTGTTTTGTTCTATATTATTTCATTTTATGTAATTTTTTTATTTCATTTTATTTTATATTAATTTATTTAATAATTAAAATTTATCATTATGTTATTTAATTTAATATAATTTATTTTAATTTAATGCATATTTATTTAATTTCCTTATATATCATTAAAACTCATACATTTATTTATTTTTAAATTTTAATTATGTAATTTAATTTAGTTGAAATTTTTTTGCTTTAATTTTTCATTCCATTTCATATTGTTTTATTTCTCTTTTAATTTTTGTATTGTTTTAAAATTAATTTGGCATATTATTTATTTGTATATTTCAAAACCACTTTAACAATATTACTTGTTACTCTCTATAATTAAGCACATTTGTAGATTTCCACAATGGTTCAATAACCTCCAACAATACGTGTTTTGGTATGGTAATCATGCAGTTTTCATTATCGCATCCCTCCGCTAGCTGCAGTTTTTGTTCACAAATCGCATAAATCGTATTATTACATGCTAAGTCATTCATATAGAATTTATTTTTATAACTACGAATATGTATGCAATCTTCATTGTTATAATTATCCGGTTCGTAAAAAAAATTGGTGTAAGTCAATGTTCGTCCCTTACTGAGCGACATATATTCCCCCTCCTCCACCAAATCATTGCCACTGGTCCAGAAATATTCGTCAGCATAGCCATTTGCAGTTAGGTGATCGGACAAAGCATTCATTTCACTCTCCGATTCGATTGTCACCAAATCAGCATTATGGGAACGACAGAGATGTGCAGCGTGAAACCAGTTTGACTAAAAATTATTATTTTTTAATTAATATTTAATAAATAGTAATTAATAGCAGTTACAATCGCATATTTTTCTTTATATTTATAGTGTTTTTACCTCTTTAATGTTATAAATATTATAGCGTTTTCGACCAATTTGGGCAGTTCCTATAAAGGTATTTTGAAAAATTGAAATTTATATGTATGCAGAAATTAATATTTCTCGCTAAATCATATGACTCACCAAAACGCCGGGCATGCAAAGACCCACCGAAAATACCGATAAAATACAAAAAGATTATATATATATTGAAACTCATTTTTTGCTTTAATTTTTAATCGCTTCTCGTTTTTGAAAAAAGCGCAGTTGTTAAAGCGTATGTTCGCTCGGTGCCTGTTGGATAATAACTAAGAATTGCATTTCAAGTATAAGTATTGCAATCCAAAGTTAAATTAATTTATGTTTTTGGAGAGTGGACGCTAAAGCCGAGCCCAGCGCAGGTTTTTCAAAACCACGTTTTTCACTCGCTCTACATTGTTGCGAAAATTCCCGTTCTGTAAATAATGTGTTTCGCGCGCTTTGCTCAACTCATGGTTAGCATAATCGGCCTACTCAGCGTACTATTCGCAACACCATCATTAACCATCGTTAATCATAGGATAATATTCCACCGAATAGACCACGCTCTGAGCGCATTGAAGGAAATAACGCAACCGTATCTGAGAGTGCACACGAAGATCGTGGAGAGTGGATTCGGCGCCGTTCGCAGCAACTTGAACTGACGTATGGAATGAATTGGCGGGTTTGATGTGAAAATTTTAAATTGCAAACATTCAAAATTCAGCTTGCTCGGACCAATCAATGGATTTATTGAGAGAACACTTCGGTGAGCAGAGAATTTCACATTTAGGACACTTCCTATTCGATTCAGGCCTTGGACCAAGAACATCGCGTGTGCCATTCGCCAGTCACCAGCCGAAATTCGCGAACGAGTCATCGAAAATTAAACTCAACTCAACTTTAAAAAAGAGAATCTTCCAAAAAAAAAAAAAAAAATCGGGTTTAAGTTACGCTAAACGACGGGATGATCACAAAGGCCTGCTTTACTGTCGGCTCGCCTCGGCTTCCAGGTCAAGTAAGAAGTTCGTTCGTTTTTTATCTAAGAGATGGCGTTATTGTCCATAGTACTAGCATTATGTCTCGCATCATGTCATATTATACGGCGCTGAAAACATGTTTTTCGATTGATGCACTCAGTACTTTGTGAGCGCTCGTCAAAGATGGACACCAGCAAAGATATATTAACAATTTTTCTTCGATCAAGGAAAATGAATTTAGTTTATGCGCCGGTTACTGTAAGCGGACGTGTAGCACAAAAGTGGTTTGCTAGGTTCCGTTCCGGTCATTTCGATGTCAAAGATGCACCACGCGTCGGGAGGCCTGACGTCGAAAATTGCGATAAAATCATTTAAATAGTGGAAACAGACCGTCACGTGAGCACTTATTTAATTGTTTAAGAAGTAAAGATAAGATAGAAGACCGTTTAGATCCATTTGTGTAACCTTGGATTCAAAAAGAACATCAATTTTTGGATGCCACAAAACATGGTGAACCGAATTTCCTTGTGAATCGCAACAAAATCGACCAGTTTCTGAAGCAGATTGTGGCTGGCGATGAAAAATGGGTCACTTACGACATCATCGAGCGCAAACGGTCTTTGACCAGGACCAGGACGGGTAAGCGGCCCAGATGGTGGGCAAGGTCGGATTGACGGCCAGGAAGGTTTTGCTGTGTGTTTGGTAGGTTTGGCAAGGAATTATCTACTAAGAGCTGCTCTCCTGTAGCCAAACGTTTAATTCGGCCGTCTACTACCAACAACTGGACCACTTGAGAGCAGCACTCGTCCAGAAGAGGCCATCTTTGATCAACAGGGGCCGAATTGTTTTCCATTAGGACAATGCCAGTCCACACTCGTCTTTGGTGACGCCCCAGAAGCTGAAGGAGTCCTAATGCATTCACCTCATAGTCCGGACCTAACAGCAAGTGATTACTATCGTTTCTTGTCCATGGCAACGCGCTTAATGGTGAGAAGTTGGCCTCAAAAGAGGCCTGTGAAAATTGGCCAATAAGAACGCAGCCTTCTAAGAGAGGGGTGTAATGAAGTTGGCATCTCGTTGGCAACAGGCTTACGAACAAAACAGCGCACATTTGACTCAAATCGAACGAATGTAATCATTGTTAACATGTTTTGAAAAGTCAATAAAAAACCGAAGGAACTTCTTACTTGACCTAATATATCAGCGACAGCTTGCATTGACCTCTTTGCATACAGCTGCAAAGAGTATTTATCTCATTATTCAGCCTTGAAAAGGCAAATCAGTATTCTTAAGGGCAACGTTCAGCCAGTGACCCATTCCTCCTCCTTTCTCAACGAACAACGACGAAACACCACAAATTCTTCATCATACCCATCCTTCAAAAATTTGTAGAGGCGTAGGAGACGTCATAGATCAGCGACTCTGCTGGCTGGGTAATGTTGCCCGGATGGATAAACGCACTAAAACGGTATTCAATACACTAGCAGCTAGTGAAAAAAAAGGAAAAAGAAAAGCCTTGCTTCGATGCAAAGATCAGGTGAAGGAGTAGCTGGATTCATTAGGAGTTTTCAAACAGCCAACAGTGGGCTCAGCTGGTGCGCTGTTATTGGCCCAACTTCGAAAGGGCAATTAAAGAAGGAAATGAAAAACTCAAACTAATACTATACTACAAGGGTTTACAATAAGTGGGTTTACATGGATATTCAAAAAAATGGCATATTTTCATATTTTGAGGTCATCGATCGGATTTTTTTTTAATGAAAAGAGGAATGAAGAACTGCCATTATTAAGGGAGAAGAATATCAGCCAAATGGTCAACACAGCTACGTTTACGGAACCGTATAAGTTTTATGAAATTTTCCATATCCAAATAGCCAAGTAGCTTCACGAATTCCATCTTTGATGTCATGAAGCGAAAAAGGCTTATTGGCGTAGGCCTTTTCGTTCACGTGGCCCGCGGAAGTAAGTCACAAGGTGTTAAATCGCAAGACTTCGGTGGCTCATTGCCATCACATCTTCGAGAGGAAACACTGTCCGTTACTTATCCCTTAAAGGATCGATGATTTTGTTGGTAGTGTCGCACATAGCTTCGTCTTGTTGAAACCAAAACCATTCAGTTCCGTTAGTGCAAGTCATTTTCCGCAACTGTTGCTTCAGCCTCATTTGCGAAAAAGTAATGTTCAATTCCACCGCGGGACCATACACCACACCAAACAGTTACACGTTGAAGATGGAAAAATGCTTTTCAACAATTAATCTTCCGAGCCCCCAGTGCAGCTTATTAAGGTGGCTATTGATGTGGAAAGAAAGATTAAATTCAAGATCATTTTCATGCATTTCAAATACCCAATTAGCAAAAGAGATGATGTTGATGATGACGGGCTGGCTTGAGTTATTGTTGATTATATTATATTATTAGCTGAACTTTGCAAGCCTCAAGACTCGGGTCTTTATGCAAAATACGTTGTAATGACGTTCATGGTATGTCCAATTCCAAAGTACGAGGAGTAATACAAAAACCTTGGGTTTTCTTCAGCATTTAAGACTACAGCAGCAACAGTCTCAGTTGTATCTGAGTGACATTCACCTATTTTATTCTTCACATCACCAACTTGTGTCATCAGCTCCGCTTTTTCCAACGATTTCTGAATGACGGCCCGGCAAGGTGCTTCACGATGACTGAAAAATGTTTTAGTATAAGGACCGTCTCTTCCAAGTTTTCACAATTTTTGTAGAGAATTTTAATGATTTCAATGCATTGCCGAAGGGTAAACATTTTATTTTATTTGTATTACTTGTCAAATGATAAAAAAAGCTTAAAAAGTCATAACTGCCCGAATAGCAGGTTATGCAAACTAACACCTCTTATTGGAAAAACGGAATTTATACTGCACATACTCATATATATGTATGTAATAACAAAACAGCAATAAGATAGTTAGGAAGTCTGCTGCATCTTAATATTGAGCATATACATATATACGAATGCAGTTTGCAATAATTTATTAAATCCTTCTGCTCATTAAACCTCAAGTAGTATTAGCTAAAGCATTTACATACAAATGCATATAAACAAAAGTATATATGTACATATGTGTAGTGTAAGTGGGACTCAACTTTCTACTAACAAATTTAATTGCATAACTGTAAAATATGCATATAAACGCATTTGTATTTATGTATTTTAATATAGTATGTGTGTATGTGTTTATTAAGGAATATAGCACATGAGTGCTTGCTAAATATGTATGTTTATGAGTGCATAAATGGAACATTTATGAACCATGTTAATCTAACTCAATGACTAATGTTCACTACACTCATCTCTCTCTCCCTCTCTCTCCTTCGCTCTATCTCGGGCCATGTGCTTGTGTGTGTTTAATATTTACTCTTGAAATCCATGCACTCGAAAGTTTAATATTGAAAGCTTCACTGCACATTTCCAAACCAAATCAAATGAATTCCTTACGCACGTGCTGAGCTAAAATATAATACAACAGATGGACGTAAAGCACATGCACACATTCATACATCCACACATCCACACATATATACATGTGTATGTACATATGGTTATCAAGTATATTTTAAGGGAAAATTTTCATTATTTATGCGCTTCAATGTACAGTAATTAGAAACGGAAGTACACAATACCTACATACTTATGTTGAAGCTTTTGTTGTTATTGCTGCTGCTATTGTTGTTGTTGTTGTTGTCGTCGTCGTCGTTAACCTACAGACAGACATTTTAGCTAACCAAGCTTGCTAAGTCTATGTAGTCATAAAGTCAACTCGATCAGAGGGTTGACTGCACGTTAAACCGTTACAATGTATGCAACATTGAACTGTATGAAACAACAAAAGATTACCGTTGCAGCCCCTGGTGCTGCAGACTCACAACCGACGGACACTTGCAGTTGTGTGTGGTAATGGCAATGATGGCCTTGGCACTTTAGCCGGGGTAGCAACTACAAAAACAGCAACAACAACTGCTGACAAGTGGTTGGGGTAATTTGCATAAACAATTAATGTATGCCGGGGCAGAGGAATTGGAGAGAGAGACGAAGTAGAAGATGAAGAAGAAGAAGAAGAAGTAGAAGAAGCAAAAGTGGTTGAGAAGAAGGAAGATGAACAAATAGGCGAAAGACTTAAGAATGACTAAGCAAAGATTTAAGGACAGCCTTGATGCACTAATTGATAAAGGTGGAAAGACGAAGAAGAAGATGAGGAAGCGGAAGAAGTAAGAAGAACTAGAGGCAGGCGTATGCAGAGCTAGAGATTTT